TTGACCGCACACAATATCATTAGCGTGTGTCTGATGCTTAGCAGTTAACACACTCCCGTCACGTAAAACACAGCTCGTATGGGGGTGGCAAAAATAATCGACATATTAGAATTAAAATGTATATTTTTTTATTTGTTTATTTTATTTAATATAATTTATACTTACTAATAGCACATATTGGAACTAATAGAATGTATTAATTATATTAAATAAAATAAACAAATGAAAAATATACATTTTAATTCTAGTGTACTAATTATACCATATTAATAGTAATGTATAAATTATATTAAATAAAATAAACATATAAAAAAATATACATTTTAATTTTTCACCCCCATAAGCTGTGTTATACGTGACGAGAATATGTTAACTGCTACTCATAAATCAACAAAGTATGATACTATAATTATAATACAATTTTTATCAAAAATTAATAAAATCAAGACTATTGTTTATTATGAGTTGCTTATGATTAAATAACTTCAAATAAACCTAGCACACATTCGTAATATATAAAATATACACCATTTGAAAAATAATTCTTACTTAAGATTTATATTTTGTAGGTAAAATATTCGATAAGTAATATTTTGCCTCCTTCAGACAATTATTTTTGTATAAGAAATCATATCAAAGTTATAAGAAACATTCATAGGACATATATAAGATACATTTGTAGAGAATAAGAAGCTAATGCGTAATTTCTTCAAACTTACATATTCATTATAATCGAAAACTATAACACTCTAAAACTGCAAATCTTAATTTTAGAACTACGTGAGTAATAACGTGAAAATAGCTCATTCAGATAATATATTATTTATACAAGGTTTGTTTAATCATAAGCTATGATTAAACAAGCATTGTAAACATTGATAACATAAAATATACAGACCAACTCGGTAACTTTTACCTGGTAATTATCTTTTTATTGTTAATGCGAATATTTCAAACATCGAAATGATTATTTGATATTATTGTTTATGACTTTTATTATATTATATTAACGAAGTACATATAATGAATTTAATAACCGCGTATCAATTGGAACACACTTACTTTAAAGTCAAATAATAATGATTTTATGGTATTGTGATCATTTATCATACTAATTTTGAGAAGGGAGTAAATTGATAATTGCTACTGATTACAGGTTACTTATGATTATATAAAGTAAATGAGCAAAAATATGCATTTTGTGAAAAATAAAAACAATTTCATAGTATATAATTTATGTGCCAAAAACTATTTTAAATATTATTTGAAGGCTTAATTTGAAGCTTATTGAAATTATAATTACTTTCATAATATGATTTAGCATAATTTTGGAAGTATATTACATATCGTCAACTCTCGTTGAATTCGTTGCAATAAAATTAATTAGTTGTAAGTAGCATTTTTTTCCCTTTAGGTAAGTTGAATAAACTTTCCGATACGTACATAAAATCATTAATCCATAAGAAGTGATATTCAGCAATTTACATAAAATATTCATTTCATCTTGAAAATAACATTTTTGCTTTCACTAAAAAATAATTGATACAATGTCAAATTGATCTTTATAACACAAAACTTGTTTAATATATTTCATTTCGTCCATCAACTGTTTTTAGTGGTTGCCTACAAAACACCACAAAACGTATATATCAGTTATTTTTAACCATTTTGAGTAGTAAAAATGCCTTTATTTAAGTGTGGGTATCAACTGTATAACCAGTAGTTGCCTACGAAACTTCCACAGAACATTCATATGCTTCGGCATAGATTCTGATTAGAAATGGTCACGTCGAGATTCTAAACTGTGATGTTTTTTATAATTCAACCAGTTATCGTAGGCCTATGTTATGTTAGTTTATTCTTTCAGAGAATACACAATCCATCATTGTACAGAATTTTATAAAAATTGACAAAATTTTTTTTTTAACATTTAATTATGAGGACACAGTCCGGCTAAAAACTAATCAATACGATTCCCATACAATACTTTTTGAATAGTTTTTGGATGTTTGTGAAGTTGTAGGCTAAAACGTACCTAAACGAAAAATTTCACACTTCAATTGGAAAAAAACGGCTTAGCCGATTGTTGCGCAAAACTAGTCCTTATCGAGTTACATCGAATGGCTTTTATATTTATGTATAACGGTTTGTTTTTGGGATAACGTCGATGAAAGGTCAAGAACCGCCACACATACATATACTTAATGTAAACATAAAACTCCGTTTTGGGAAGTTTATAAACGAACAAGTAATCTGTGTATTACATTATCTTATGATTTTTTTTTTCTCTACATCGACATTCTTTCTGCCATCACCAACCGGCAAGACGACCGTGCTAAAAGGAGTCGTCGCCATTACTCCCGTGTTGTGTGTTGTTTCCCCCATCGGACTGATCCGCACAAAAGCGAAAAGGGCGCCGATCAAGTAAACAGGGTGTCAAACGCTAAGTGCCCCGTTTTGTTCGCCTTCACACAGACACACACTGTGTTGATGCCGCCATACACACCTCGCACACACAAACAGGGCGTTTATTATGTCGGGAACACATAAAAGATATATCCCATCAAACACGAAACACATAGTTTGGCAGCTGGGGTAGTTAATTATTCACCGAAATGCTATATTTGGCCCAAATAGTGATAATTGCTTTTGGTTTAGAATACCTGCCGCACAGGAAGTTCTTGAAAATGTTCAATATGATACAAATTTTCTAAGAGGTAGTTTTTGAATTTTTTCAATTCATTGTAGAAGTTTTTTTTCTTCTACAATACTCATTTACACGCACGCAACTCCTTTATAGCCAAATGTCTAATCCAAAATGTTATATCAAATAGTATTTGACAAATACTATCATATCTAACACTCTGACTTTCCAATGGTACGCGATATTTTGAAACCATATGGCACAAATTGAAGTTTTTAAATACATACTTGCATAATTTTGATTTTAGAATGTCCTGATTTGAATTGAGAAATCCAAGTAAAAATTGGACTGAAGCAAAAATTATTCACTGATCTCATTTAGTGACTTTAACATTATTTTTGTTTTTTACATTCTAAATTATTTTTCTTCTTGATTTTATTGTATATTGTACTCCTAATAGATTCTCAGCTGTGATTATAATAAATTAAAATGTTATCTCTTTTCTATATTGTTAACAATTTCTGCTAATTATTTATCTAACAAATTGCAGAATAAACCGTAGAAAAAAAGTTTGTTTGAACATTTTTATAAAATTTTCTTAAACAATAAATCATTCGACTCTCTGGTATCTTATTTTGAATATTATTGATTTACAAGCAATTTTTTAAAAATAATTAACATTTCAGGCGTATAAATTGTGTAGTAATAAATATATATGTAGTTTTTTTAGCGGTTTTAACTCAATATATGGTAAATAAATATAATAATGTAATCATTGCATCTTAATAGATGTCTTTTATTTCAAACAAGTATCAAAATCAATTCAAATCAATCAATCAAAAATCATTACTTAACAAAAAAAAATATATATATATATGCGAATATATACTTATTTTCAGCACTAGAAACTTTAATAAAAACGTGAATTGTTTTATACACGTTTTTAAAACTATTGATATTAAATTAATTAGGCAGAATAAAATTGGTAATTATTTGAAAGGTTAGATGTTGATTATTACATTTTAACTTTTGTCACGCAATTATTAATTTATTTATAAACTATAAAATTATGTACCAAATTTTAAGAGCTATACATCAAATAAAAACAACAGATGTTTTTTTTAGTATTTTTCGATATATGATGATCTTATGTCATTTTCATTGGTAATTTAAACTGGAGCAAATCTAATTAATTTGTATCATATCCAGAAAGACATAACTGAATTAATTTTTGTCATTTTAAATAACTAATTGATCAAATATTAAAATGGACACTATGAATAAACATGCTTCAAAATTGGTTATTCTAGAAAAAATATATCAGTATGTATTTAACGTACGGAAATATGGAAAATACTATAAAATATCTTTAATTTTTATTAGATGTATCGCTCTCATGATTTTAGGCCAAATATTTCAACATCAAAATTATTATAGTATATTTTTTAACATGCAAGGATGGATAAATCAGAATGATCTTATTTTTAACTATAAATGAATAACTAATTATTGATTAGACAAATGTCCCACATTTTTTGACAGTATGTATTAACTTCTTGAATTGATTTCAAAATTTGCAAGAAATATCAAAATTTTCAAACAATTTCAAAAATCTCAAAACATTTAAAATGTTTAAAGGTTTGAAATTGTTAAATTATGTACAGTATGTGAAGTTACAGCGATTTGCCTTAAGGCACGATGCACTAATTATTGAACAAATCATGTATTTATATTTCACTGGAATAAGTTTTTTTCACTATCAAGACGGTATATAATTCAGAATGTTGTTACTTTTACACAAATAATTAGTTATTCTATACACCTAATAAATGTACAAACACAGCCATTAAGAAGTGTTAAGTGGCATTTTAGCTCTCTTATTTCTCCACACCAACTCTCCCTCTAAGTCCATCCTCCAACGGCGTAAAAGAAACAGACAGCAAATCTGAACATTAGAGCGAATGCGACGGAAACCCTTGTCTCGCGGTTGCCGCTTATAATAATGTCTGAAGTGTGAACGCTTGGAGCTTAATAAGCGAGAAAGAAACAGATATACAGGGTAACGTATCACACTGGGCGAGGTTGAGTGAGACGGAAGATTCTTAGTCGTGTGCGCTTCACGAAAGCACATGGCTCGTGCGCTTACGTTCACACTCGCCGAAAGCTCGCTTTTGTCGAATCGGCACTTATCGCTTCTCTTCGCTGATCAGTTTAGTTCTGAACGTCAACGGATTAATACGTGTTCGTAAAAAAGCTTCTTACTATTAGATTGATATGTTGAGGATTAATTAAGTGATTTATAAAATTAATAATAATTTGACATTTTTGAATAATTAGTGACATGTACAGTGCACAAGGATACATATCGAAATCTGTGATTTAGTGATCAGTGTTTGATTTTTTTTGTTGGAATATAAAGGATACAATCAAGATGTTGACCTCAAGCAATCAGTATCTCAGGCCGGAGTATTTGACACCTTTACCAACTACGGTAAGCACATTTTTTTTATTAATTAATAAAATAATACAAAATTAGTTTTTAAAAATCATAATTTTATAATATATTAATCTTATTATATTAGTAATAAGATTTATATAAAATTCATTATATTATATTAGTGTTATAACAATTAACAATATTTTTTACGGCGGCCATGTGTTTCTCGCCCATTTTTATTTTTAAAACTTTTCTTGAAGAAGTGTGCAAAGTAGATGAAACATTTTTAAATCAAGTTTTCGGACAAATATCTTATGACATATAATATTAGAATTCATTATATTATATTAGTATTATTACAATTAATATTAATAATTTATTTTTTGGAGGTTACGAGTTTCTCTTCAATTTTTAAATAAATTTTGCATAGTAGAAGTGTGTAAAGTAGATGAAACATGTTTTTTTTAAATGAGGTATCCAGACAAATAAATTATCACATATTAAAGAATTTATATTAGAAAGATGATAATTTATATAGTAAGATAATGAAATTTATATCAAATTAATAATTCACATTGTATAAGGGTTATAACAATTTTATTGAATTCTTTTCCGGCGGCCATGTTTCTCGTTATTCTTTAAAAATTTTATATATTTTTTTAATTTTGTGAATTAGAAGTTGCAAAATGATTGTATAAGTGTTACAACAATTTTATTGTATTCTTTTCCGGCGGCCATGTTTCTCATTATTTTCTAAAATTTTTATATATTTTTTTTAATTTACTGAATTTGAAGTTGCAAAATTTATATAAATATTTTTTTAATTTTATGAATTAGATGTTGCAAAATATATAACATTTTTTTATAAATCAGGCTTGCAAACAAATAAATTTTCGTGTATTAGAGAAATCTGATGGTCTGATGAAATATGATGATTTTTCTAAAATTTTGCAAAACTTGATAGTATTGTAGAAAGATTCTAGCTTTCACTTAAAATATCAGTATATTTCATCTTATTTCATATATCCAAGGATAACGAAGCCTATAATTATCTGCTGTAGATTTACCATCAATATTTTAAATTAATTATTCATTTTTGAGGTCAAATAACATTTTTCTCAAATATAATTCTGGTTATTGAATATGTAATTCTAAAATACGTCTTTTACAACTTATTTCTATTTTTTACATGCATAATATTTTAATTAACATTATAGATAATATATAAGGAACGTAATTGCTAAGTTAACACGTTAATCGTCACAGTAATATCAGAAAGAAAAACCCAATGTGCCATGGTTACTTCTTAGATAATTTAGATAAAAATGTATCAATTTTGAGACTTCATGTATGATTTTTTTTTTGGTAAATTTTTGGAAAAACTATTTTTTATTCCACACGTGATGACTGACATGTCCTGATATTAAATCTTTTTTTGTAAAACGTGGTCTTTTCCAAATTCTACCTTCATCCGCCATGTATCTACAACCTCTTAGCGTCAGACACATATGACTTACATGGCAATCAACGTGTTAAATAGTCACCCACCAACTTTTTATAGTTTCCTATATAAATATTCATTATCCTCTTCGGCGTAGGTAGACAATTTATCACATTGACCGCATTTCAAACATCACTGTACACTACATTTTCAATTCGCATACATGTTGTATTTTTGTTGGACGTTTTAGCCCATTAATTGTTCGGCAATAAATTTGGTTGGACTTGAAACGATATCCTACTATGTTGACTTTTGCAGATCAGCCGTGTGAATTTATTGCTCCATGTGCGACTGTTTTGTAATTGCAAAGAAATATTTTGGCATGGTGCAAAATTGCTTCGGATAAAGGATTCAGGAATTGTGTAACTAATTCTTCTCGGGAACGATTCGTGAATTAGTTTATATTATTTTGTACATTTTAATATTTATTTGTGCTCAAGCACACCTTGTTTTTCATTACAACAATATGTACAATACGTTTCTAAATCTATAAATTTTGTATAAATTAGATTATTTACCATCATACCCAGATGTCCAATTACTGGATTTGCATTCAACTTAGACATTACGGAAAAAAATAGTACGGAACCCATAGAAATATAAACAAAATTTATACTTATTATCAAAATCTCTGTAAAATATCTGATAATTTGATGTGCATATGTCTAATGATCATTTTTGACCATCAAATGGCACTTTTTTTACTTTTTTTATTGGATCTTCAAAAGCGCCAGATCTGCCTTTCCAAAAGTTCTTCATTTCGTCAATACAAATAAAATCAAGTTTTCTGAATCATTGAAATCGGACGCTCCGTTTATTTAAAAAAATGAATAGCAATTTTTCGCACTTTTTGCCCCATATCTTCGAAACGGCTAGACCTGCCTTTGCCAAAAAGCAATCAGCACATCCTCCCTTCAATAGGAATCGAATGTTTTTTGAATCATTCAAATCGGTTGATCCGTGCTCTCGAAAATTTGTTTCCAAACATACATACTAAACACACACACTCGCACTCACATACACATATATATACATTAAGGTGGTCCTTAATATGGACATTTTCGAATTTCCTTGCTCGCAAGGGCTCAAATGATTCCAAATTTATAAAAAACAATTCTCTCAAAGTTTTAGCTCTTAATATTGTTTCTTAGATAGTGCGCAAATCAAAGTTTTGTATGGAAATAGCATGAACAATTTTTCAAAAATGTTTTTAGATATAATTTTGCTTACAAATAAATGAGTTTTATTCAAAATTTGTCTTTTCATTTTAATTCATTTATCGCTAAGTTATACCTAAAATTATTTTTTTTAATTTTTAAAATTTTTCCATGCTATTTCCATACGAAGTTTGATTGAATTGCGCACTATCAAAAAGTTAATATTAAGAGCTAAAACTTTCAGAGAATTGTTTTTTATTAATTTGGAACCATTTGAGCCTTTGGGAACAAGAAAATTCGAAAATTTCCATATTAAGGACCACCCTAATATACATCCATTTTTCTAAGGTATGCCAAAATGTACAGAACTCTCTAAAACGTAAAGATATGCAATTATTTTAATTTTTGATTTTTGTTGAGATTACTAACTTGAGTATCTGCTCTAGGAATTTTTTCCCAAAATAACTTCAAAAGAGTGCGTATCCTTTATTACCGTCATTGTAAATACGCATAAACCATTGCAAACGACGAAGTGAATTAGAATAGACAAAGATTTTTATAGTGTTTCTTTAATGTGGCAATAAATCCACGGTTTTCCACCTACTTTCATGATTTTTACGAGCGATGAATCGCCAGAACAGTAGAACGCCATAAATAACATGTTAGCAGATCACATTCGCCCACACACATGTCACACTTTACTAGTTTGGCACATGTTGAACAAAGCGGAGATGTCAATAGCACTCTATTAAACCACAAGACGGATAAATTATTCATTTGAAATTGATTTATTATTGCTCTTGCGAAAACCTTGTTATCTACTTCAATTTTTATAAATATTGTGCAAACATCTGTTAGCACATCGAATTGATTTGTCAGAGGAAAAAAAATTGATTGTAATATTATTCATGAGCGATATGATTGTTTATTAAGTTGGATAAATGGTATAAACTTGTTGATTGCGTTAAACCAGGACCGGGAAACATTTTTAATCATTATCCCAATTTTTCTTGGTCTAATTTGATATTATCCCCATGGCGAAGATAGATTACCTCCCATATGGACAACTACCTTGTAAATACAGTGACTATCAATTAAAAATACACATAAAAAACAATTTATGGTTGCCACAAATAATTACTATTTTTATTAACTTTCTGTAGGGTAAGTTATAGTAATCGCAAAAAAATCAAAAATCAAAATACTTGCATATATTTACGTTTTACCACCAAAAATTCCATTTTTACCCCATTTGGGTTAATTTACCCCGGTTTCCCGACCACTGCATAAAAGCAATATGGAATTTGTGGCTAATTGTAGATTGAATCAATACAAAACATTTGATGGACATTTATAATATCATCATTCTGTTTTTTACTTCCCATTGGGTAACTTATAGTAATCGCAAACAAACCGAAAATGAACATATTTATGTTTTGAGGTTTTCTGAACATTTTCGCATACCTTAGCAGAAATTATGTGTGCGTGTGTATGTGCGGATACAATTTTTCATCGACGATTTCGAGAGTACGGATCAACCGATTTGAAGGGGTCCAAAAACATAGGATTCGTGATGTTTTACTTCCCATAGGGTAATTTATAGTAATCGCAAACAAACCAAAAATAAAAAAAAATCGCGTTCAAAGCTGTTCTGAACATTTTTGCATACCTTAGCAACACTAGATGTGTATGTGTGTGTGCGTGAGCGTGTGTATGTGCGGATACAGTTTTTCTTTCGAGAGTACGGATCAACTGATTTAAATGATTCAAAAAACATTCGATTACTATTGACAGGAAGATGTGATGATTAGTTTGTGGCAAATGCAGGTTCAGTCGTTTCGAAGATCCGAGAAAAAAGTGCAACAAATGGTAATTCAGTTTTTGAGCGAACAGAGCGTCCGATTTGAATGTTTCAGCAAATATTTCACTTGTATTGACTGAATGAAAAATTAACTGTATTTTCGGAAAGGTACAGCGGTTTTAGAGATCCAGAAGAACTTGTTAAAAAACGCCTGTTTGCGGTTAAAAATGATCAAAAGGCATATGTATATCAAATTATCAAAATTTTAATAAGTACTTATTGGGTTTCCATACTTTGTTGATTGCGTACCATGATTTTTAATTTTCAAAGTTCATTTATACGCCTCATAAAAATGTCATCTGCTTGAATGAATTGTCTTGATTGTGATTAAAAATACATTGGCTTCATACTGACCGCGGGACGTACTGGTTAGTTTTTGCGATGGGCAGGTCCAGCCGTTTTGGAAGTACGATGCAAAGGCAGCAAATAAGATCATGCAGTTTTGAATTCAACATTTTCAAAAAGTACATTTTCAAAAAATTCAAAATTTTCAAAAAAAATCAATTTTCAAAACTTTCAAAAAAATTCAAAATCTACAAAAAAATTCAAAATTTACAAAAGACTTTAGAATTCACAAATAATTTCAAAATTTACGAAAAAAAAACAGACTTTCAAAAAAAAACAAATTTTCCAAAGATTACAAGATTATTGAAAATGTAGCTTTCATACTAGAAATCTAGAAATTTTCAACGAAACTTCAAGCTATTTGCCTTACGGCGCTATGCCATGCACCACTAGTTTTTTTACTGGATAGTTTATTAATTATATCAATAAATCTACAATTTGTTAGTTGAAATTCGAGTGATTCAGAATGATTTTATTATTTCATTCTGAACACCACTATTTGCCATCTGCAATGTGGATCGATCGCGTTCGCACATGCAATATACGTCTGCCATCAAGAACGTCAAGTGCTTAGTTATGGCTGTTTTATTGCATCCACGGTTAGAGCAAACTGCCTTTGTTAACCGACGTTGAGACATACCTGCGTTTTTAGCACGTTCTCTCTATATTAGTTTAGTCTACACACCTCGCTAAATACATTTCACGTTTGTCTATTAATTACTCTTAGAAAATTTACCTAATTATTCAAACATCCGCTCGTAAAGATAAGACAACGACCATAAAATGGAAACCATACTTTTATAGTTATTGATTCAACATCCTAAATTATAGTTCTGCAGTATATTTTTCACATTGTTTGATAATGTGGTAATCAATTATTCGCTTGTCTTTTACTATTGAAATTAACTTTTCAATTTATATTTCCAAACAAATTATGTTGCAATGTTCAACATGTTCCAAGACATGCCGTGCGAACACTGGCAATATAAAATTGACGTATGATTTATATCTTCAGCCGCGGAATGAACGTGCAATAATTTATAACGTACAAAGCAAAGTAATATATTTGCATATATTAAGGCATAAATCATTTAGAATTGTGCAATAAATAAAACTCAGCCCCTTATGATATATAGGACCGCATGATGTCATTGAAACAAAGAAGTTTGCAAAGCGCTTTTGATTCGCAGGGAATGAAAACACTCAAGTGCAATAAACATATGCCAGTGCATATAATAAAAAATGCAATGTTCTGGAATATCTAACTATTCATTTCTCTTCTCTTTCAAAATGTTAACTACAATTTAAAATATAAACTTCCTTTGTTTACGCAGAGTGAGCGGACTTCACAACGTATTCGGTCGAAATTATGAATACAAATACACGTTTTACAGCTTTCGTGCGCTCGTAAATAACAATAAAAAACGAATAAAAAACAGCCAGATTTACGGCAGCCATAACTGAATTACTAAATATTCATAAAAAACCGCGCCTGGTCATTATTCAAAATGAAAAAGTTAGTAGCAGCTCTCTCTCGCGCGTTTTGAAGCAATTAAACAACTCTCAAATTAGCACTTCATTTAAAATTCAAACTGATATTTGTGCATATTTTTAATTAAATCGTGTTGTAGATATTCCATTCGTTAGCACCATGACATATTCGCGGCTAATAAAACGGTGTTTTGATTTATTTATTCTGGTTGAAAAATACATTTTGTTTAATGTATTCATTTTATATGCGATATTTTATGTCACGAACCTGAGACGATTTTAATTATATTTATTTGTAATCAGTTTGATACGTCAAAAATTCGGATTCAGAATACAATGGAAATATATTTCACATGTATGTACCAAGTTTATTTCCTATCAACACCGGCATTATTTGATTTGATTTAATCTAATTGATGCAATGATGATTTGTAACTTCTGATACAATTGATTAAATTTCGTAAGTTAAATAGCGTTTTCTACATTCAGACTAGAGAAATAATTTTAATTACTAGGTCATGCAAAGAGGCACGATTTTCCAAGAACTCGTAGATATTACCGTTTATTATGTGAATATACTCGTAATTAATATAATTACCTAAATTTATTGCACACTTTATCAAGAAAATAATTATATTATTTTAAAACGCAGTAGTAGTACAGTGGACATAGTATAAAATTTTATTTTTTTGTAGTTTAATACCCAAATTAAACATTTTTCTCTTTCTATTACAGCTCGATGCTAAGAAGAGTCCATTGGCTTTATTAGCTCAAACATGTAGTGCGATAGGAGCTGATACACCAAATCCAAAGCTCCTTGCATCCATTGAGAAATCTACTAAAAGTTCGTCGGCAAGCAAAACGCCAACCTCTTTGTCGAATCACTCTACTACACCGACTAACATGAGCGAGTCAAATAATAATACAATAACTTCTAAACCATCTCACTCTCCTGTCAACGCGAGCATCAGGTCGAGTCCATTAAATAGTACAACTACATCAGTATCACCAAAAATGCCTTCAAGCTTCAAGCCATATGAAAATACACCTGTAAAGTCACCGACTCTTGCTCAAAATACACCTGAAAGTAATTTGAGAGCGCGAACTCCTAAAAGAACGCATACACCTCTTAGATCTTCTAGTAGTAACAGCTCTGCGAATTCGCCTCTGCCTGATAGAACGTCGCCAATTCAATCTTCACCCAAGACTCCTATCTTACCACCATCTAGTAGTTACATGTTAGGATTGCCACCACCGTTGGGATTAGATCATTTGAAAGCTGCGTACTTGAATTACGCACGTGGATTGAAGCCAGATACTTTTAATCCTGCTTGCAGAGATCCTTATTGCACTGGTACATGTATCAGTCCATTGTTTGGAGCGGCATCCGTGCCGAAGACATGTCCTGCTGGATGTCTGCAATGCGATCATGCGAAGACACCGTACGCTCCTAGCGCACATCAGCAGCAAGCAATGGCTTTTGCTCATGCTCAGTTATATGCTTTAGCAGCAGCAGCCAATCAACCATACGTTTGCAACTGGATTTCCGCAGGTGACGCTAGCACTTATTGTGGAAAGCGTTTTAGTAATTCTGAGGAACTATTGCAGCATCTAAGAGCGCATACAGGTGGTTCAGGGGCAGATTTATTGGGGCCAAGCGCGGCGCATCATTTGCTAGCAAGAAGTGGCTACCCAACGCCACCATTGAGTCCGTTAACTTTGGGAAGTGGAAGATATCACCCATATTCAAAACCAATGCTGCCCCATTCATTACCACCACCGATGGTTCCACCACATTTGCTACCACCTGCGGTTGGTGGTCTACCGCCTTACTTTTCGCCATATGGCAGCTTCGTACCGCCACTACCAAACTTGGCAGCACTTGCCCAACCGCCAGCAGGCAGCGGTAGGCAATCAGGTGCCCAGAATGGACTGCATCATTGATAGTTTCTACTAGTTACGATTATAATTCATAGAATACGCGATGCTTTAGCATACGTTGTGAATATTGTGATTCTGAATTTGTTTATGTTCTGATTCTATCATGTGATATGGAGAAGTTAGTAGCTCATCTGAACTATTTTCTTTGATCAGTTGTGCTGTTGCTTATTGCGAATCTCTCGAAGACTTGATTGTTCTTGTAGGTGCTTAAAAAGACACAGTTTAAAAATTATTTCTCATATGTTATTTTATAGAGGAGTGTATATATGATAACCTGTAATATATTGTATAGGAAATTTTCTACTTATACTAGTGATATGTAATAAATATTAACAAAGAAACTATTATTAAGAAATATTAACAATAATAAAAATTATTCAGCCAAAGTATATATGATTTTTTTTGGAAAATTGTATGAATGATCTTGGGTTGAATATTTATATTTAATCTTAATATCATTTGGCATATATAGTCTTGCATACAAATCTTATATTTTAAATAATATTTTCTAATTCTAATGAACAGTCGATACATTTTTCTTTTCCACAATTTACTTACAAGTGTTTGTGACTGATTTTGCTCAATAGTATAAACAAGCTTATAATATAAAATTGTATAAGAATACCAAAACTTATTTTGAATATTGTGATTCTTTAGGTATAATTTCGTATTTTAAGCAGTGCCAAATACTTGAGAGCATTGATACATTCAATAAATTTTTATTTCTTAAAATAAAATTAACTTCTGTGTGTATATTTTTTGAACTCATACCATTTGGAACTGGCTGTAAACAAAATATCCGAGCTTATGTAAGTTCATAACTTTGTGAATATTATGATACAAAACTATAATTCATATCTCTAAATGTGTTTCTGTGTAAGATATATAATAGATTCATGTATCAAGAAAATATTATTCCGACCTATCATGAAACATCAAATTTAAAGTAAAATGAAAAATAGATGTGTAAAATGTATATTTTTAAAATATATTTTCTTGTTAACTTTATAATTTATAATTTGTTGTGCAAAAATATAAATCGTGATGATTAAAGAAATGAATTTTGAAAAAAAATATATTGTTTCATTTGTGTGATACCTTCCAGAATTTGTGGCAATATGCTTTGCGGTGGCCTTATTATTAACTCTGGTTAGGAATATTGAAGAGAAATAAATTGGAAATGATGTGTGAGACTTTATATATATATATATATGTATATATATATGTATATATATATGTATATTATATATATTATGTATATCTATATATATATATATATATATATATATATATATATATATATATATTATAATGGATAGAAACGATCCTGTTCATAATAACATCAATCATTCTTCAGTTTGAACAAAGACAATCGTGATCTAAAGACCGCTCCCAGTTCACTTTTGTAATGCAAACAATGCCTAAGAAAATAAATAGTAGATCCGTCGGCTGACAAAATATGAAATATAGATATTACCATCATGTCAGTCAAATAGGGTTTTGAAACGATTCTTGAGATATTGTCAACTGTTGTAAATAGAATTATTCATCAAGATTATTTATATTATATTATCGCATAATTTTGAATAAGTTTTTGGCTTTGAATCCAACCTATGTTATTACTATATTGTTGTGGGAAATGAATTTAGACAAACTTTAAGTTCTGCGAAGGGGTCAAAGTTGTGTTTTTGGCGTATATTTATTCATATAATTTTATTATTAAAAAAATTAATGGATTAAAACATTAATAGAAATATTTTTGTATAAAATTTTTCTTGCATTTTACAACACTCACCGAAGTTAAAAAAGTGAACCAAAATAAGTCACTTGTGCGATACAATCACCTTTTTTCTTCTAATTTACCTTTTTTATAAAATTTCATTACATTGATAAAATTTTTAGGCCATAGAAAATTACCATATTATTCTTTTTTTTCTTTTTATTAGTTATATACCTACTATCTAATATTTTTAAGATTCCTACTTAAAAAACTTACTCACTAAACTTACCTAATTTTCATTATCTATCAGTATATAGTTAAATAGTTATAACTTACTATAATATTAATGTGTAGGATAAATAAATGCGCATATGAGATTTTTTAATATTGACAAATTTAACAAACTTCAGATGTTTTTCGTGTTTCAGCTGGCACCTGGCTCATACGTCTATCAAAAGATCTGTGACATTTTTGAAAAATTCTGTATTACTTCTTTTTATCTTGCACTTTCATATTATAGTAATATGTTATAAGTAATAACAATATAGTGATAGTGACTTTTATTTTAGCCTGATGGCCTAGAAATACAGGTAGTTGTAGAGATATGAAACTTTAATTCATATTTCTAAATTATTTAATATCTTGAACCTAGACTAAAACTAATTGCAAATATACAATTTAAGTAAAATATGTAACCAAAACGTATGAACTGTATCAGGCCTTCCTTTTATTAAAAATAGTGTTTCTTGGCTCGTACGTTCAAAAAAAATATATTTTATTATAAAAATTTTTGTTTTAGGACAAGTAGACATAAAAATAAGACTTTAAGTTTATCACTAAATAAGCTCATATTTTTTTGATATTTGGTTTTGGTTGGTAACATTCTGAGTATTTATTAATGGAGTAATAATACCAAATCATGCAATTTTCTTGGTTGTGCTGTTACTTTTGTGTTTACTACTGTACAGACTAAATGTCTATTTATCCATAATCCAAACTATAAAGTCAATACTTCTAGACTTGTAGAGTCTTCATCAGAAGCATTTCGTGCCTTGACGAGGCTCCTTATAAAAATTTGTTTGGTAGCAAAAGATTCATCATTATTATCAGTCTATAATCAGTATAACTTAATCATTATTTATAAGAAATTATTTAATAAGTAAATAGTTAAAATTATATAATTATCAATAAAATATTATGAATTTTATATCGAATGGAAAAACAACTACTGAGTTGTTTTTTCCAACATGCCCTTTTAGTATACAATGTCCCTTTTCGGCCGACTGTTATAAATTCTTCAAATTTATTGAATGTTGTAAATAAAATAGATAATAAAAAAATATTATCAGTCACCTTATTTATAAACAATCCAAACTAAATTATTTTTTTGCATTTTTACATCAAACTGATTCAAAATCATTTATAGCTGATGACCTTAGATTTGCCAAAGTTTCTGTTTCTAAGGAGTATTAGGAGATTTTGGTTAGCTTACGCACATTAGGGGGCCATAATATCGATACGACAGATTCGGCGGCAACTACGCCCCTGGTCTTCATTATGTCATTATATCTTAGGCGTTTCATATTCCTCCTGGTAGGTGACCATCCCTGTCTATTGCAACGGCCTGACATGATGTGTCTGCTGTCTGTTGGTATCGTGATGAATCTATTGTTAACAACAGCGAGGCGATGTCGGGTCACGTATTCTGACAATATATCATTATACGATGCCACACAAAACATACATATGCGAAATTAGAAAGAGAGCCCGTAGTCTATTTGTTAAAAGTACTGATTTATACTCATTCGATTGCTTTTTGAAGAATGGTTTTGACTAGGGTTTGTTGTTTTCAAAAACCGGCTTTAAAAATCGGTTTTTGGCTAATTATGGAATTCGAAAACCGTTTTTTTTAGTGAAAAAAGTCGGCTTCTGCTGTATAAATGGAAAATGACAATTATAGCTATTATTAATGATTTTTTAAATTTAGAAATATATATCATTTTTATTTATTCGAAAACTTTCCTTCACTATCATAATAATATTTTCATTCTTATATGTGAAAATGATGCATGAATAACGAACAAATATTTTCAAAGTTATTTAATTAAGATAAACTATTATTTTTTAGTTCTACTAATTAAAATTAAAATAATTTTATTTACTATTTATAAAATTGAACAATAAATAAATTCAGTCAAATTCTGCTCTAAATTACATTAAATTTGCGGATAAATTACTGAATATTCAAGCAAAAATTTATTTTCTATATAAAATTCGAAAACCAGTTAAAACCGGTTTTTTAGTAAAATTAAAATTCGAAAACCGGTTTTCTGAAATGTCAGTTTTTGTATAAACCCTAGTTTTGACCAAAGAGTTCGAAAAAATGAACGACAATAATCATGAATTATGATTGTAATATATAATCTTACGATTAATTATAACACAATAACTCTAGCTAAAAGTGAACCAACCCATTTTATCAATCATTAATTTTATCATCATTATTTTTTTATTTCTTCTATTAATTACGATTTGTCTTTATACAATAAAAAGACATTCAGTAATTTTAAGATATATACATGAATATTTAACATCTATTCTAAAATGTTACTCAGTAGTAAGCCGTTTCACAAATAAATAAAATTGAATTGCTGTCATATGAAGTGAAATTGTAGATAAATATAATAAATAACAAGTTAACCTAAAAAACTTTTATTATTTAGATTATTTTTTGAGCTACGTTTTCTGGTATAGATCAGTAAAGTTACTAATAAAATAAATTCATAAATTAAAAAAAAAATCATTTTATTAAATCAATTTGTGCAATAGAATAAAAATATTATGTTAAAATTGTTTTGCTTGTAAAAGTATTTGGAATGATTTGTTTTTATATCTTGTAATAGCAACTTCACAAGTTATATAGTTAATATTTAATTATAAAACATTTATTAACACGATAAATGATAAATAAAATCAGTTCCGCCAAAAACAAGAAATTGAAGGTGGAAGCTCTTCGTTTCAGTTGTTCATGGATTACTACAGTTTATTAAAAAATCGATATAAATTATAATAAGATTTTACTAAATATATTAACGATTTTATAAACAGTCAATTTTTTAGTACATTACATATATTGAAAACAACCTCAAGCTTGAATAATGTGCTTATTTATGCACTTGTTTAATTATTTCAAACTAATATTTGAAAATAATTTTAACATTCAAGCAATAAATTGTGCTTTTCTAATCATTACAAATTAATATTTTAATTTTAGTCTGTTATT